GGTATAAATGGATTACAAAGGGGAAATTAAAAATAAAGAACTGCGTTATAGTTGATTTAGCAATAAAAGGTATATTAACTGAAAGTGAACTATATCTAGGTGATAAGAAGAAAGCAGTCGAAGATGCAAATCATTGTGTTAGTGAATTGCGTAAAGTGCAATACGCCAAAAAACTATTTATCATACAAGAACTTTGTATAAAATTATATACAGAAGATTCATTTCTATTTCGAATTGTTAATGAAACATTACGAGATAATAATCGTAACAAATTTGAAACGTTAGGACCATTTTGTTTTCTACTATACACTTATAGCCATAGTCCAAACAATAAACAAGGAAAATTACCAAATCAAATAACATTATATCGTGGTGAACCGTTAACACCGGAAGTTATTGAACTTTATAAATCATCTATTGGTAGTGATATAATCTGGAAATGGTCACAATTTGTATCAACATCAAAAAAACGTAAGACAGCCGAATCGTTTAGTAACGGTAATAGTCTATATGTTATTGAAATGAAAAAACGTTCAGCAAGTGATCAAGGTGTTTATATAGCAGAACTGTCACAATTTGCAATAGAAGAAGAAGTATTATTGCGTCCTGGTATAAGATTTAAAATAATAGAAGTAGAAGAAGAACTTGAAACAAAAATGCAAATATTTTATATCGACATTATACCATCATTCATGTCCGGTTTAAATTAATGAACAGCAGGGACCTACTGTATGTGTGTCGTAAAAAATTTTTTAATTAATTTCCAAGTCCGTTAATATTGAAATAATCTTTATAAATTAAATCTTTGATATTGAGCGTAGGTTTAGGTTTATTTGTCCAAAATGATTCTCGTGCTTTTCTATGTTCATTATTCATAAAATTGTCCTCAAAAGGTGCAATAAATACGTCGTTAATACAGTGGCTTACTTGACTTGAGTATGTCCCCTAAGTTTATTATATGGATCCTAATAATCTGGGATGCATGACGGAAAATACGTTCTCTGGGGAATGTTTGCGTCTCGCCTACGGAGTCTTCCCCGCGCTGTCGGCAGTGTACATAGTAGCATGTGTTTTTGGTGTCGCAAGTTAACCATTGTTTAATCTGCATATTATAATCGGCTTTGATGGAGACGTTAACTGTGTCTTTACTTAAACTACAAAAACGACGAACTTTTCGAATACATTTGTTGAAACCCTTTAATGTATTTGCGAAAATCGGAATCATTGATCTCAAATCGCCGAAGTTTGTTAGAAAAAATCAAGTGACACTAAAGGTTAGAGGCATTTATATGTCAACGTATATTTCGATCTATACGAATATTGTCGGCAGCGGTCCTTTCCAGTTTTACTAGCTAAGCCCTACTTAAGTCTTCTACTTTGCGGATTTTAGATAGATCGTTTTTAATAGGTTGACCGCGGTTGTCTAGACCCAGAATAATGTTGGCATATTTGAGTTCTTTTCCACTTTCATCATTTGGAGAATTGAGTTTTGTTCTATTTAATGTTTTCTTTAGAATAAATATTTTTATTGTATTTTGCTCACATGGCCCTGCAGATAGGACGTTTCTCTTAACTGTGACGCACAGAAAGGGAATAACGAAAAAGTAATAAGTCTACTCGTAGAAAGAAAGCAAACATTATGTGTATAAAGGCTCCTTGCAATAACCATTCATCAAAATTTTCTTTAGAACAAACGATGTATTATAATAAAATATACTCTGTATATCACTATACATTATGTTTTAATTCAAAAGAATAATCTCTTAGCGATGATTTCGTTTTCATTTGTATTTTCATCAGTTTTCATTTTAATTCTACTATAGGCAACAGCAGTGCGAGAGAAATCGACAAACCAAAACTAAGTTTGTGCAACGAGAAGTTTGCTAAGAAACTAGCATAAGTTAGTAGTTCTAAGTGACGAAAACACTGCCATATGTCAATTTGGAATATACTCTCTTCGGTGGGAGAAATTCTTAGACAAAACAGCATAGTTCTCGCGTAAATACGAAGGGGGAAAAAGCATACTTCCGTACTTCTCGTACTTCTTTCTTGAGAGGAGTACGGCGAAGTATGGCGAAGTACGACGAAGTACAGCGAACTACAGAGAAGTACGAGAAGTACGGAAGTATGCTTTTCCCCCCTTGGTAAACACATTATTCTCATGTCCGAGACACGAAAGTTTCAGTAAGAAGGTACAAAAATCCCATGAAGAGAGCAAAATTCTGCAAGATTCTATGCATAATACACGTGTAAAAGCATTATTCTCGTGAACTAGACAAAATTCCTTGAGAATTATCCACGGTCTGAGACATTAAGCTGTCACACTAATGAGAAGATACAAAATTCTCGTGCAGAGAGCATAATATCTGCTATATTCTATCCATAATTCTTACAGAACACAGCATAATTCTCGTGACGTAGACAAGGAAGTTTCTGTGAGAAGACAGAAAATTCTCGTGAAGGGAGCATAATATCTGCGAGATCCTATGTAATATGTCTAGTAACGATATGTAGTTCTTGGAGAACTGATTTTTGTTCTATTTAATGTTTTCTTTAGAATAAATATCGTATTTTGCTCCACTCCGCAGATAAGAAGGTTCTCTTAACTGTGACGCACAGAAACGGAATAACGAAAAAGTAATAAGTCTACTCATAGAAAGAAAGCAAACATTATGTGTATAAAGGCTCCTTGCAATAACTATTCATCAAAATTTTCTTTCGAACAAAGGATGTACTATAATAAAATATACTTTGTATGTCACTATACATTATGTTTTAATTCAAAAGAATAATCTCTTAGCGATGATCTCGTTCTCATTTGTATTTTCATTAGTTTTCATTTTAATTCTACTATATGTTTTTAATTTGCTGCGTAAACACATATCATGGAAAATTGCTTACAAATCAATTCCGGCTGCGCCGTGAAATTCATTTATCGGGAATATGCATCTGATAGGTTCAAAACGGGATTGTAAGTGTTTTCTGTTTATGTTCGCCATTTAGACTGTGGTATGAGAGTCACCAGTCACATTATTACTTTAAAGAAAGATTTGTCAATCAAAGGTACAATTCGAATCGATTAGTATAATGACTGGTCGGGATTGTAAAAACGTTTTTTCTTGTCTAGCCGGACCTTTTGACTAGTTCAAAATGGCGATGAATGAAAATTACAGTTTCCAGGCTCTTTGATCTAACATTAAAAAACTCACAACTCACTCAAAAAACATCAGAACGACTTGAAAACTTCAGAATGCCTGGCATGTAGACTATTCTATATGCTAATGACGAGAAGTCCACAAATACCTTTTAAAAAGTCTTGTGGCTTCCGCGAAGAACTTCTAGACACTCTTTAAATAAAAAAATGATTTTAGGATTTCTCGATGCTATAATCGCGTTTAGCGGATAAAATTAACTGTATCCTAAAGTTCGCAATTCGTTCTGATGTTTTTCGAGTGACTTATGAATCTTTCAACGTGAGACGGACACATGTAACTTGTAAAAAAAACCACTACATTGCCACTTTAATTTTTGCAGAAATAGATTGATTTTCCAACGTTCCTCTCAAAGCTTTACTTTCGTAAAAGATTCTGAAGTTTGTTTAGTTACGAAAATGTGCCTTGATCTGCTGTTCCGATTGTGGAAAATTGCACGTCAATATTGCTTTACGTTATTCAAAAAAATATCCGAGTGTATTCTATTTTGAAATGGATAGTAATTTAAATATCGAAATTTTTAACTATGTCAATAATAATAACCTAATAGTACTGGCATAGTTTCACGATTTTAAAGGTCTAATCACACCCGCGGTTCCTTGCTGAAAATAAGAACAAAATTCCTACTAGTCGAAACAGTAGACAGGCCACTGTTCGATGTTGTCGACTACTCGGATAGGTTCCAACACTTGTTCGAGGGTTCTTTCGAGTACTAGAAAATACGCTTCTGATGCCCCCCATAGAGGGCTCGAGTTCCCGAAAAATGAGACTTTGCACCCTCGATATCAGCGGTGGAGAGGTTCTCGATTTCGAGTCCTCATATTTCAGATAAGTGCCGAGTCCTCGAGAAAAATTCCCTGCTGTCGAACAGAGATGTTTCGGTCCCAAGCAGACAAAAAGACTTCTGAACCCGCGTCGCGCGAGGATGCAATGAGGCCTCTGAAGTCCCGAGTCTCGCTGTTCGGCGGCTCGGAATTTTTCTCGAGCGCTCGTTACCTGTCTGAAACCCGAGGGCTCGAAATTGATAACCCCTAGACCGCCTATATCAAGGGTTCGAAGTCTCATTTTTGGAGAGATCGAGCCCTCAGCGAGGATCCATTTTCGAGTGTTCGTCGCACCCCCTCAAATAACCTTTCTCGTCTGCATGGGGTAGCCTGATTTTCGACCAGTGAAGGTACTATTCCTCTATTCTTTGCATGTGAAAGGACGCCAGATGACACTTGAGTTGGGTGGAGCTATGGGTGTCACGACGAAGAACACAGGAAGAAGCCACTCAATAATCGTGCAACTGATGATTGCGACCACTGAGTGAAAAGTGGTACCTCTAACTAGTGGAATTATTTTTCCGGCTAGAATCGACAATTCAAGAGAGGCTAGTTATTGTATTAATCGAAAGTTTAAAAGTTTTTTCTTTGACATATAAGGTTTATGTTGATACACATACACTGTATTTTTATAGCTCTTCTAACATTTCTCATGGAAAACTACAACAAGTTTGCTGAAGGATCGTTGTCTGCTGTATGGTACTGTTTGTGGCCAGCTATGTATTTGGTGAATGCTGACGGATTAGAGGTCATTAATCAAAATAATGCGTAGTTATTCACGTTTTACTCATCTAATTCACGCTTGTAGATCTTTTTGAGCAGTACAAAAGAAATCACGAAAGCGTTTGAGTTTGAGTACACGATTCTTGACCCATGGTTGAAAAAGGGTCTATTGACAAGGTAAAAGAGTTTAATTTAATCTAACAGCTCTGCTCTCATTTTCATCTTGAAGTAACGGCTCAAAATGGAAAGAACGTCGGCGTATTTTGACCTCGTCGTTCCATGATACTAGTTTACTGAACAGTGTATGTTACTGATACAATGTTTAGCAAAGTATGCTTTGATTTGTCTTCGTCCGTACTAGTTTCTTCGAATTTTTAATGAACAAACTAATATATGCATGTCTCATTTGGAAGCGTATGTTGACAAAGCGTCGATAGATCTATATCCTTATTTGGCCGCTTGTACACTTGATATTATATGCGGTGAGCATCATGATGATTCTCTCAACAGTCAGTAGTGTGGTTTGACTGCGTGTTTAGAATGTGTAATGAGCACAAGCTGTATGGCACAATCCGGCAGTTCCGATTACACTGATGCTGTTGCAAGGTAAAGCACGTCCTGCCGACTAAGCATTCCTGCAATAGAACATTTTTAGAATGGGTGACATAACAATGAAGCGTATAAGTACGCCGTGGTTGTGGAACAGTTTTATATTTAAGCTATTTCCAATCGGACGAAAGCATGATAAATTATTGGAAATAATTCACGGTGTTACGAGAAATGTATGCCCAGTGATAGTTATACTGTTGTAATATTACGCGTGGAATATTTCGTTTTCAGATAATTAGTGTACGAGCAGCTAAATTTGAATCAATTCAGTTGACATCGAAAAAAACCGCATTCCTTGATACCCTGTTGTCGATGATGCATGAAGAGCAGTTGACAATGGACGATATTCAAGAGGAAGTTGGTAAGTACATCGTATCAGGAAATCATGTTTTGAATTCATTCTGTTCTCACTTTAGATACCTTCATGTTCGAAGTATGTTGAAATTGATTATAAAAATGACGAATGCGGTGAATATAATATGCTATGGTATTTTAGGGACATGACACGACCACCGGTGGTCTTAAGTTTGCCATGTTTCTTATTGCACTACATCCAAATGTACAACAAAAATTGCACGATGAAATGGATACAATATTCCGTAAGGTCTATATGTACAGGTGGGAATACACTGTACTAAATTTTTATGTTACCGGTGATAACAATAAAAGAGACTGTACCATAGACGACCTAAAACGAATGCATTATTTAGAATGTGTAATTAAAGTATGCACGACACTTTTTTATTTAAAATCAAGAGCTAAGTAGAATAATCCTTTAGGAATCCATGCGACTATTACCATCAGTGCCATTCGTTAGTCGAGAACACAGTGGGCATTTTTTGCTAGAGCAGGCGGACTTTAGCTTTACGAGTGAACTAAAATTTCATGAACCATTTTTTTATAGGTTTTTCATGATCCTCTTTCTAATGCCATGAGAGTTGGGTTTTGTGAAAGTTTTCTAAGGATTTTTCCAGACATCCGATCTTTCGAAAACACTTCAGAAAACTTTCTCAATATTTAAAAACGATGCTACTGGAAAGATCATTGTCGAAAACCTATAAGAAACATGTTTCGAGTCGTTCAGGTTCCTTTATCTTGAAATTCAAATTTTCAGCACGAAATTGTTTGTGTGAATCTCAAAAACTAAGAAATTTCTAGAATTCAAAATCGAGCGACCGAAACTAGATGAGTTATACACCATTCGATGCAGTTTTTTATGCTGATTCCGAATATGATATTATTTTTGAGTAAGAGTGATTACTGAACAGAGAAAACCTTGAAATATTGCGAAAACCGTACGGGTT